GTGCCGCTGCAGTTTATCGGCGATAAAAAAGTCCTTTTTTTTTTTTTTCTTTTTTTTTTCTTTTGTCCGGAGTCCCTGTTTGCTTTTCTCCTGCATGAGGAAAGTTTTACAAAAAATGACGACACTGTCGATGACCGTTGTGCTCAATGCAGCCTTCTTGGGCCAAGTTCAACGGCACTGGATTACATTTCCATAGCAACTGAGGTATGTTCACTGTTGCTAAGTGTGAAGTGATTTTTCATGACACTCAATATTATCTGTGAAAGAAAGCCCTGTGTCTGTGCTGTATCACTGTGACCAGCAGTGGTGGCACCACCGTATTGGAACTGAAAGCTACAGTCGGTTGGGGCTTATTACACGAGACTCTCATGTCTTTACCACTTCACATGGAAATTCAGGTCAACCATTGCATCCAGATTAGCTGCGGAAATGGCAGACCTACATCCTTTCCACCATCACTTCTTGTGTCTTGTGCCCCTTTTTGCCATTGACACCCCCATCGCCCTTAACTGTGCTGGTTACCTGTGAGGGCGCAATCAGACGGACATCATAACAGTCTGTGGAGACCAATCTGCGGGGATCACTATGACCGGGCCCGTCACTAATGCCGTGTCTGAAAAGCACCTGAATTCAAAAGGTGCTCGCTTGAGTTGTAAGCGTACATCTGTATGTGTGCATTTCTTGGCAATATAACACACACACAAAAGACAACTGTGGAACACTCTTGTGGCGTCTTGTAGCTCTATTTTCTAACATATGCAGCCTTGGAGACCTGTTAAAAGGCATAGCATCAATATTCTGTATAACATGCTTTCTGACGACATATTACGCAAGTTGTAAAATATGAAGGCCTATGCAAAGTCTGATGTGAAATCTGACGAAAATCAGTGGTACAAATTTAGCAAAGTGGAAAAGAGAGCCATGTGCATCTTACTCCAAGTTAGACGAATGGGCCCTGGTGCATTTTCATGTTCTGTGACTCACAGACTTTGATGTAAATCTTACTTTGCTGCCCATAAGCTAGTTTATCAACAGGTACACAAACAAATTTATATCTCTTTCATACATATGTCTAATTTGTAGGGATGCCATGTTTTATAAGCTTTTGTTTGAATTTTTCATGCCTACCCGCCTCTGTTAGAAGCTCCACGCTTAGAACCCATTTAATTGTCCATTCACAGCATATACAAAGCTTACAGTACATCAACGTCAGAAATGATGATATTTACATGTCTGCACAAGGTTGGAAAGGGGACGGGCAGTAAATTGGATGACTTCCTTTGTTAGGTTTTGCAAACTCCACGTCTCCAAACCGGTATCCAGTCACTGAAGCAGTGAAATACTCAAGTTAGATGACAAGCTCACATGTAGCCGCGAGCACATACATACAACAGATAAGGAACAGAAACAGACGACCCCCTCTGAAGCAGATAAGGCTACACGTCAGATTAGGGCTGGTCCACTGCTGCTCTGCTATTGGGGTGTCACTGTGTTTGTGCATGTGTGTGTGTGTTTGCGTGTATCTGTGTTTGACTGTGCATATGTGTTAATGCCTAGGCAAGGTGGGGGGGCGTTTGGACAAGGGGACGTTAATCGCGGGAGTTTGTAAGGGTCATCCAGTACCCACTCGGCCTCCTCCCACCCCTTCCTGACTGAGGATATCAGTTCTCAAGAGAGACCGGGGTGAAGAGGTATGAAGAGTGAAACTTTGTCCCCCCGCCCCGCTCCCTCTCTTCTCCCCCCGTCCTCCGCAATTTGAGACAAAATACGCACATACGCTGATGATATCAGTCTATTTGTTGTAGAAAAAAAGAACCATATATGTCTCCTCTGCAAAGAGCCAGGTGGGGGAGTGAATGAAGCTCACAGGCCAGAGACCATTACCCGGTAGGAGGGGGGCATGTGTCTGTGCCTGGGGCTGGAACCAGGGCTGCCGTTGGGACTGGTGCAGCTGGCATCAACCCCTCCTATGGAAGGTAAGTAGGCATGGTGCAGGATGGGCAGTTGCAAAGACAGCCGGCGCTGTATGCTGCAGAAAGAAAAGGAAAAGGACAACATCAGAGGTTACAGTATACGTACTCGTGTGCTGTACTTTACTGTATATTTGAATTTTTTTATACATTTTAGAAAGCTGCAGGTGCCAGCCACACATATGAACCCTGTTATCAGAATGATTTGAGATGATATTAAACACAATTTGTTTTGTTTTTGGAGTTTTCCCACCCAGGCTTATAAGATCTCATTTAAGAGAAGCAAGAGTGAGTTTTTTAATAAATGTATAAAACTAAAGATTCACTTATGGACATATTGTAGTTAAGAAAAGACAAAAATAGCTGTTGGTCTGTAGCTGCTCCTTGGTTTAAAAGTTGGATGTGCTACTTTCCCAGTCATCACTCTGACCTCAGTATCCTTAGGAACATTAAGTGTGCATTACTTTGTGAGTTCAGCAACCCAACCTCAGCCTGATAGTTCCTGAGTCATGGGTTTGTCAGTATTTGTATTTCTTTCACAAATCTGGACATAGATAATTGTCAAATGTACCTAGTGAAGAAATGCCCCTCTTATCTCTATTTTACTCTTGTTGAACCTCTAGTGGTTGTCGACACGTGTCATGTCTTGCAATTAGGTACATGGTTTCCACTGGGAATCAGCAGGAAGATCTTCTGACTGGTAAGACCAATAATTAATTAATTTGAGATGATGCAGTGTCATGCTGTTAGCTGACTGCGGTGTGTTGGTATATATATAGAGATTAATTTAATTATAAAACATTGTACATCTCTGTTTGTTTACATGACGTACTACGTAAAGCTGCAAATATTTGAACATTTCTGTAACTATTTCTGTTACTTCTGTTACTTTTCTTGGATTTTTTCCACTTGCTGTTTGTTGACTTGTGACGCTCTCTTTTTAAATTATTATTATTTTTTTTATCCTTCTGCAAACATTTTGTCAGCATTTACTGTAATGCACCAAATCACAGTGTCAGTTCCTCTTGGCAATGAAACTGATTCTGAATCTGATTTTGACGTGATTTTGGCTTTGTCATGTTTTTTGTTTTTTTCCTCTAATGTGTGAGAAAGTCTTTCCAAAGCAAACTTTGAGTCTCAAACCTATGCAGAACTCAATCTTTACACTTCATGTACACTGCTTTGATAATTAAATAATTCATTGGAACGCTGCTCTGGACTTTTTATACACTACATGATGATAAAATAATAAAAACGTATATCATGCTATAAATTACAATCTGCTACAGTAATTTACAGTGTGTGAATTACAGGTAAGGCTCGTTGGCAGGAGTCTTAAAAACGATAAGACAAATAACCACTGATGTTTTTAATACTACAATAAATGATAAAAAAAATCCAAAGTTGAAATAAATCCTAATATCTTGTAATAGGTAAGTCTCAGCTCTGCCCTCTTCAGTACATCCGACTCCATCTGCTGCCAATAGCTCCTGCACCATGATGGATGGCGACATCATATGGGATCTGCGGGGCATTTTTTATTCATCATGCTTCATGGGCTGCTTTCATGTGTTGTTCTGTGCCTATGCATAATTATTGTGTGTAGATTCGATGCCAGATCAGTGATTCCCAACGACCGACTGGAATGCACCACCTGGGTTCAGTTCAGCCGCCTCTGTCAACCCATCACCAGCCTCCCAAGGCAACTTTTTTTTTTTTTTTTTGACGCAATGACAAATTAATTATGAAACAAATGAGTTATGAAACTAGCAACGGGAGGCAGAAAGAGCTTAATAGAGTCTTTCTCGCTCGCTCTCGGAGACAGATCTGACGACGGAAAAAGCATCAAGAAAACGTCATACGAGCTGTACCAGAGCCCGGACCTGCCTAGTTCGCTCTGAAAACTTGTAGCGTTATTGTAATCACGCCCAGCTACCGTGAAAAAACTGAACAAGGCAGAAGAAAAGATGCGGAAAAGACAGACATAGCACAGGAGCCCTCAGCAGTTTCTCTAATTGTTTTCCATGTTTTCTTTAGCACCCTCCTTCCCAGCTTCACTTCTCCTTACTAAGCCCCTAATCCACCGTTTCTCCCAGCTTCTGGGATCATCTGACAAAAAGAACATTTCATGCTTCCGCCTGGTGTGACAGTTCGCACCCTACCTCGCCAGAACCAGCGCCACTGCCAGCCGTTTGCAAGAAAATTGCATAACCAAATGCCAGTTATGTAAAAACAAAAAAAAAATTAAGAGGGGGGGTAATGCAATTCAAGCTTGTTCAGCAATAGACCTAGAAAAATGTCTTAATTAGGTGAACTTTGAAATATTAATGGTCCTCAGGCCTAGTCGGTTATCCCGGCCTGTTCTACTTGTGATGGAAACACAATCTTGCTTGCTCATGATGGAATTTCTCGTAGCTTTCAGGGTTTTTTTTCTTTTTTTTTTGCAGAATCACATATGACACAGATGCTAACAAATTCCCTGCACCGAGTGCGTGACTTTGTCATCATGTCACAAAGTATTTGTCCTCCTCCACCTTCTTCTTCTCTCCTCACAACTCTTTTCTAACTTCTTTATATTTGTCTCGTCTTTCTCTTCCCTTCCTCACTCGCTGCCTCTTCATCTCTCTTCCCTCCATGTGATCAAACATTCATGTGGCATGGGAATAGCTCCGAGTGTTCCTTTACTTCTGTTCTCCTCCCTGTCTATTTTCAGAGCTGTTTCCAATGCGAGCTGTAAATCACTGGTTACATAAGCCTCTGCGAGTCTCTACCTCCTTCTCCTTTCTCTCTCCTTCTTCTTATCTCTGTCTCTCTTTTCAATCTAAACATGTTTCTCTCTTAATCCGCCTTCTCTTCTGTAACTGCCCTCTCCTCAATATTGTACCCCCCCTTTTTTTTTTTTTAAATCTTTTATCTCTCCTCCCTCCCCACCCCTCCATCAGTCCTTCTACAGTCTGCATTCCTCTCCTGGTTCTGGTTAAACAAGTGTGGGAGGTAGACTTGTCAATGATGCATGAAGTGTCCCCCTCCCCATTGATGAAGTCGACATCCCTCAGCTCGGCTGCCTTATGAATAATAGCTAAACGTGGATCTCCATTTGTCGCATGAGTGTTTTGAGTGTCCAAGACCATCTTCTTTTACAAGTTGGGACAACAAATCAGTCAGCTGCATGTGTGTGCGCTCGTCCTGTACATGTAGGTGTTCGACTGGAAGTAATCGGCAGTAAGTCCTGCGTGGTGGGGAAACTCACAAGCACTCTATGCATGTTGGGCGTGGGAGAGAAAAGTACAGGGCCGGCCCATGCTTTCACAGGGCTCTGTTGCCAGAGCAACCGCCTGAGAGCTGCCGGTGGTTGCGCTACATGTGACGTGTCGTCTGATGAGAAAGCTGACAAGACGGAGGGGGGGAGAGGGAAGGAGGGGGAAGTGAGGGAAGCAAGGGGGGGAGAGGTGCTAAGGAAATGGGAGAGCTCACTGTTCAGGCGAGTTGATATCCTCCAGGGGACCTCTGTTTATTCTGGAAGGATCCATGGAGCCCCACTGTGCCTGTGGTTTCTGCTCCAGGTGGTTCTTCAGTATCGACTTCTCTCCATCTGCATGGAAACACGTGTAGACATGTTGAAAATATGACAAGCTGACAAATGGACTGTCGGCTGTTACGCACACCTGGGATTCCTCACTCAGGTGCTAATACGTGAGTCTGGACCATCATCTGGAAACTGTTTGGGAGCACTTTAGTGGTGACAACATACAAAAACCAGTAAAAAAAAAATGTGAGTATGCACCTATCAAATGGTTGCATTTTTATTGAAGAAGGTTTTTGTCTGTGTTGGTGAACATTTTCACTGCATACAATAGATTCACAGATAACTTTAGTGTTCCGAGGCCATTACATCGAAACCACAGGAAGATGTTACAAAATGTGAACGAGAAAAACGATCTGTTCTGTTGAAAAAGGTACATTTCCATCAAATTAAAGAATTTGGGCTGGGCCTAACATCCACAATATTCTATGTACACTGTTTTGGGTTTAGCCAGAGTTCACCAGCAGCTTTTACTCTTTACCAGCAGCACCGAAGGGAAACCGAAACGATTTGTCGACCATGTCTGTCAGCTGACTACATAGTTGTCAGTTTCATTTTTAATTTTTACAAATGGAGACAGATGACATCATTTAATCACATCAACGTATCCAGGTTGACATTTAAAGTGCAGGCACAGAACAAAACAAAAGAAAGAGTGAAAAAGAAAAGTTCTCATCCAGGAAGGCTCCTCCGTCTTGTGCTGCAGTCGGATGCAGACTATATGAGGATGAAATGCAGCAAGAAATGCCTCAATCAGCTTTCCTAAACTGCATCTGGAGAGTAGTGGAATGTTCCTTTAGTCCCTACAGAGTTTTCTCCCCAGTAGTCCCAGATTTTCCAGAACACGCTGACCCGATTCACTGATTGGACATCTGAGCTTGCTGGACTATTTTGGAGCTGACTGGTTCTGTTTGCATTATGAACAAAGCCTAACCTTGTAGAGCTCTGAGACGCATTAAAGCACCGACACAGATGTTTGTACATTTTTATTATAGATTCAGACGCAGAATACGTGTTTGTGCTACAAATGAAGTATTGGGTGTTTTTTTTAAATGTCACAAATGTCCAAGATTTTCCGAGTCTTAAAACTAAAATCCTTGTTTTGTTCCAACGGAGCACATTCCCACATTACACGACTGTTGTGGCTCTGTGGGTCATGGTAACTTCACACTCTGCTTTTACATTGTAGAGATTTGGGGACATGAGGAGTCTCACAAAATGAGGTGTTCCCTGGAGGTTACCAAAAATGCAAAGAGTTGGTGTAAAATCACAATGCGTCCATGGATGAATGTAGTCCTGATGAGATTCCTGGAGATAGATTTACTTCCCCAAAATCAACTAGAAGAAAAGACCAGGACTGACTATGCTGAAAGCTCAGCTCTTCCATATGGAAGGTAAAAGCTGTTACAAGTGAAAAGCTATTTTCTGTGGAGGCGTGAACACACACTGAATCTATCCACTGTCACACATGTGTAAAGAAACAGGGGCGTGCTAATGAATGCGCTGTACTACAGGTGACCTTATGCTGGGTTATTAGGTCAGCCAGCAAGACGCTGTCCCTGATGGGAATCCCTAATGCAGCTAGCAAAATGGCCACTTCAGGCAGCGTTCAGATTTCTGTGTGTACTTTAAAATAATCCATGTAAAAACAGTTTTTGTTTTGTTGTTTCTATTTGGAAAGCTACAGGCTAGTTACCCTAAAAACAAACAAAAGTCATTCATATGCTGTCTTGTGAGACTCTTCGCTTCCACAAATCT